GATTTTCAGGCCCGATTGGTTTTCGCTGCCGCCGACCCTCCGAAAGCGATTTCGGAACGCAACAAAAACACAAATTCTCCCAGATCAGTCGGGCTCGATTTTCAGGCCCGATGGGTTTTCGCTGCTGCCCGCCCTCCGAAACCGAATTCTGGGCACGTGAAAGCTTGAAACTCCCCCAATGCATTCGGGCTCGATTTTCAGGCCCGATGGGTTTTCGCTGCCGCCCACCCTCCGAAGGATGAGATCCCCCAAAATCCTTCGGGCTCGATTTTCAGGCCCGATTGGTTTTCGCTGCCGCCGACCCTCCGAAAGCGATTTCGGAATGCAAAAAAACTACAAATTCTCCCAGATCAGTCGGGCTCGATTTTCAGGCCCGATGGGTTTTCGCTGCTGCCAACCCTCCGAAACCGAATTCCGGGCACGTGAAAGCTTGAAACTCCCCTAGTGCATTCGGGCTCGATTTTCAGGCCCGATGGGTTTTCGCTGCCGCCGGCCCTCCGAAACCGAATTCTGGGCACGTGAAAGCTTGAAACTCCCCCAATGCATTCGGGCTCGATTTTCAGGCCCGATGGGTTTTCGCTGCCGCCCACCCTCCGAAGGATGAGATCTCCCCAAATCCTTCGGGCTCGATTTTCAGGCCCGATTGGTTTTCGCTGCCGCCGACCCTCCGAAAGCGATTTCGGAACGCAGCAAAAACAACAAATTCTCCCAGATCAGTCGGGCTCGATTTTCAGGCCCGATGGGTTTTCGCTGCTGCCCGCCCTCCGAAACCGAATTCTGGGCACGTGAAAGCTTGAAACTCCCCCAGTGCATTCGGGCTCGATTTTCAGGCCCGATGGGTTTTCGCTGCCGCCCACCCTCCGAAGGATGAGATCCCCCCAAATCCTTCGGGCTCGATTTTCAGGCCCGATTGGTTTTCGCTGCCGCCGACCCTCCGAAAGCGATTTCGGAATGCAAAAAAACTACAAATTCTCCCAGATCAGTCGGGCTCGATTTTCAGGCCCGATGGGTTTTCGCTGCTGCCAACCCTCCGAAACCGAATTCTGGGCACGTGAAAGCTTGAAACTCCCCCAGTGCATTCGGGCTCGATTTTCAGGCCCGATGGGTTTTCGCTGCCGCCGACCATCCGAAAGCGAATTCTGGGCACGTGAAAGCTTGAAACTCCCCCAGTGCATTCGGGCTCGATTTTCAGGCCCGATGGGTTTTCGCTGCCGCCCACCCTCCGAAGGATGAGATCCCCCCAAATCCTTCGGGCTCGATTTTCAGGCCCGATTGGTTTTCGCTGCCGCCGACCCTCCGAAAGCGATTCGGAATGCAAGAAAACAACAAATTCTCCCAGATCAGTCGGGCTCGATTTTCAGGCCCGATGGGTTTTCGCTGCTGCCCACCCTCCGAAACCGAATTCTGGGCACGTGAAAGCTTGAAACTCCCCCAATGCATTCGGGCTCGATTTTCAGGCCCGATGGGTTTTCGCTGCCGCCCACCCTCCGAAGGATGAGATCTCCCCAAATCCTTCGGGCTCGATTTTCAGGCCCGATTGGTTTTCGCTGCCGCCGACCCTCCGAAAGCGATTTCGGAACGCAGAACAACTACAAATTCTCCCAGATCAGTCGGGCTCGATTTTCAGGCCCGATGGGTGTTCGCTGCTGCCAACCCTCCGAAACCGAATTCTGGGCACGTGAAAGCTTGAAACTCCCCCAGTGCATTCGGGCTCGATTTTCAGGCCCGATGGGTTTTCGCTGCCGCCGACCCTCCGAAAGCGAACTCCGAACGCAAAAAAGAACAAAACGGCTGGCGCGACTGCGGCTTGCGACACAGATGCACACGCACACACACACACAAACACACACACACACACACACACACGCGCGCGCGCGCAAACACGCACCGCGTTACTAGTAGCTTGTAAAAGTCCTGGAACGCATAGGGACGGCGCGGGCCCGTCAGACCTACGCACAGAGAGGCGATCTCTTACTCCTCCCCCTCCACCTCACTCCTCCTGTCCCCCAGAGGAGCCATCGAAGGCCCAGCCGAACAGGAAAAGAGCAAACCAAAACGTCGACCACCCGGCCTTGTAAGACCACGCCCGGCAATGTTTTGTCGACCCGCAAACTCGTGAAGGAATTCAGAACTGCGAGGCCTGGGAACGCTGCCAAGCACCTCGATCAGAATCAGGCGATGGGCAATGGCAATTCTGAAAATATCCGAGGTGACGCTACTGTGCCGGGGGCTGCGTCGTGCTCCCATGCGCTGTGCCGCGCCGCACTGGGACGTGGCAAGGAACGCGCAACGTAGTGTGTTTGCGCACTGTATCCGCGTAGTGTACTTAGGTAGTGTCTTTACGTAGTGTTTTTGCGTAGCGTACTTGCGTGGTGTGTTTACGTAGTGTTTTTGGTATAATGTATTTACGTAGTGTGTTTGCGCAGTGTGTGTGTACGTAGTGTTCTTACATCGCATATTCTGCGTAATGTATTCGCGTCGTGTATATATGTAGTGCATATACGAAGTGCATCTCTGCAATATAGTTACGTAGTGTCTATGCGTAGTGTGTACATGTATTGCATTTGCGTAGTGAATTCGCATGTCGTAATTTTCGTAGTGCGTTTGCTTAGTGCTTTCGCGTCGTGTGCTGGGCCTATGTGTTGTGTTGGCTTAGTGTGTCGGCGCAGAGCTCTTGCGTGGTGTATTTGCGTAATTGCTTCGTGTATGGTATTAGCGTCGCCGTTTGGCGTGCAGTGCTTGCGTGGAATGTTTGCGTAGTGTATTTCGCGGAGTGCATTTCCTCGCGTGGGGTAAGCTTTCCGCGTAATGCTGTCGCGTAGAATTTTCGCGTCATGCATTCCCGTGGCCGACCCGCAAACTCGGGAAGGGATCCAGAACTGCGAGGCCTGGGGACGCTGCCAAGCACCTCGATCGGGCGATGAGCAGTGGCAATGCTGGAGATGTCCGCGGTGACGCTACTGTGCCGGGGGCTGCGTCGTGCTCCCATGCGCTGGGCCGCGCCGCACTGGGACATGACAGGGAACGCGCCACGCAGTGTTTTCTTCGTACTGTACTTGCGTAGTGTATTTACGTAGTGTATTGACGTAGTGTACATGTGTAGGACATATTTACGTAGTGTGTATTTGCGCAGTGTATTTACGTTATGTATTTGCGCAGTGCATTCGCGTAGTGAATTTTACGTCAGGAGTATTCTACAAAATGTATTATACGTAGTGCGTTTGCGTAGCGTGCTGACGCAGTGTGTTGGCGTAGTATGTTGGCGTAGTGCTCCTGCGTGCTGCATTTGCGTAGTGCTTTCTCGTATGGTGTTTGCGTCGCTGTTTGGCGTGCAATGCTTGCGTGGAATATTTGCGTAGTGTATTTCGCGGAGTGCCTGGCGCCGCGTGAAGGTAGCTTTCCGCGCAATGTTGTCGCGTAATGTTTGCGCGTCGTGCGTTTCGGTCGACCCGCAAACTCGGGAAGGGATTCAGAACTGCGAGGCCTGGGGACGCTGCCAAGCACCTCAATCGGGCAATGGGAAGTGGCAGTGCTGGAGATGCCCGTGGTGACGCTACTGTGCCGAAGGCTGTGTCGTGCGTGCGCCTGAGTGTGAAGTAATATACGTAGTGTATGGTGTAGTGTTTCACGAAGTGTGTTTGCGTAGTGTATGTACGTAGTGTATTCACGTAGTGCCTATGTCACGTTTGAGCTGCTTGCTGGTGTAACATAATCTAAGCCATGTGCTTACGTAGTGTCAATTTCACGTTTGAGCTTCGAGCTGGTTTAAACGAATCTACGTGTTTGTTCTTACGTAGTGTCTATTTCACGTTTGAGCTTCATGATGCTGTGACATGATATTCGTAGTGTATTTACGTAGTGTATTGACGTAGTGTATGTGCGTAGTGTATTTGCGTAGTGTGTTTGCGTAGTGTATTTGCGTAATGTATGCACGTAGTGTATGTGCGTAGTGTGTTTGCGTAGTGCCTATTTCATGTTTAAGCGTTTTTTTTTGTCACCGTCAAAATCTCTATCCCACCGATAAGCATAACCATCCGCAGGGAACCGTCTGGCTCCCAACTTCGCGCTTCGCGCTCCGCGAAGCGCCAATAACTTCGCGCTCTCGCGCCGTCCCCCCCCCAGGGGAGAAAAGGAGGGCGAGGAGGAAAGGGGAGAAGGAACGAGGACCGCGAAGAGCGCGACAAACTCCGCGCCCTCGCGGGAACCCTCGGCACCCTCTGGCTCCACTTGCCGCGCCCCTCGGTGGCCGCGCCTGGGCTGCGCGGCGGCAGCGGGCGCCCGATCCCGCCTGCCGAGGGGAACGTCGCCGTCGTGGCCGCCGCCGCCGCCGCCGTCATACAACACTCGTCGAAAAGAAGCAGAAGTATCATGTTTTCGGCACTTGTGTGGTCAGCGCTACGCCAATGCTGACACCAGATAAGTGACTTGGACGCGAGGGTGTCAAACATCCGGCACACCCCTCGCAGCATTGAAGAGCGCAGTTTCTAACAACCGCTCGAAAATATCGATCGCCGTGATTTCCAATTGCATTCCTGAATATTTTTGACGAGGCTTGTAGGCAGAAGGCGTCTGTACACCACCACCGTGCTTGGCCAGGGCCGTCCTGGGCACCGGCCAGGCACGGTGGCGCCGAAGCCCGGAGGGCCCAAGGCACCGCGCTGGGGGCCCCGGCCACAGAGCCCCAGGCGCCGCCCCTCTGCGGTGCACCCGCTGTGAGCGAGGTGCCACGCCAGGGTCTCTCATGGGCGGTGGTGCCTGGCAACCTTCCCAGACCCCCGACGTAATGATTTTTTCATTACGTCGACCCCCAGAGGTCCCGACCCTTTCCCCATGACTGGCTTGGCATCCTGAGTCGTTTTTTGACGCTCCCGAGGCCCGGTGAGGGCCCCAGGAGGCGAAAATTAGGAAAAACCTCCCGTCATGATTTTTTCATTACTCGAGGGGGTCTGGGTTCCCTGCGGGCGCCAGGGCACGGGGATGGGCGGCCGGACGCGGGCCGC